AGTACTTGGTTTGGCATCGGTATCGCATTGAGGAACAAAGCAGAGGCTGCATTACTCGATCCGTTTCCAATCGACAGCCGCCTGTATGCGGTTCAGCTTCAAGGCTCATGTAGACGCAACAATAGTGAAGAGAGGCGCAATTTGTTTGTCGTTTCTGCCTACGCGCAACCGACTGCAGTTGTGTATCGGTTAAGGATGACTTTTATCGTGGTCTCCACAACCTATTGAACAAGGCCAAAAACGCAGATGAGACCGTCCTTGCCGGAGGACTCAATGAAAGAGTGGGTCGCCTGATTCCGCGCACTCTAAGGGGCCGGACTTCCGCACACACCCTGGACTTTTTGATCGTCATAGAGCTATCCAAGACGATTCAAATAGTAGTGCATTGCGTCGCATTCTCAGCCAACAACTTAAACAAAGGCTGCGTGCCCATCGTGAAAGTTGGTGTTTCTAGCGCGCCTCAGATATGGAAACAGCAGCCCTCTCTGGAAACATCGGCAACCTTTCCCAGGTCATTCGGGCCACTGGTCACAAAAGACCTGTTGTCAGTGACGTCATTTGCGAGGTTGACGTAACGCGGATAATATACTTACACAGGAGTATGGACGGCTGGGCTGGACACTTCCGCACTCAAATCAGCTTTAATCCTCCATCGGTGAATCTATTGAGAATACCTAGTTGCGCGTTTTGAAACGTCTCATGGGAACCACCCACTGAAGCTGAGGTCTGCCTTGAGCCCAGACACTTGAAGCGACTCAACTCTGCTGGCCAATGCGGACTTCTTCCAGAGCTGTTCAAGTTCGTGGGCGAAGTAATTGTCAACCCGTTAAAAGGATGGTTCTGTAATATATCTGGTGTGAAGAAACAGTTCCATCCGCTTTGCGCGAGTCAATTATCATCCCGGTCTTCAAGAAATGTGTCAGTACCCAGTGTGCCAACCACCGAGAAATAAGTCTAAAGTCCGTTGTCTCCAAGCTGTTTACATCCATTCTACTCCGCAGACTAACACCGATCCGAGAATTGTGCTCCAATGAAGAACATGCTAGTTTCCGTCCTGGTCTAGGGTGAATAGACCATATGTTTACGCTACGCTTACACTTTTACAAGCGTCACATACACAGACAGCTCAATATTGCTACTTTTTGTAAATCCGAGAAGCGTTCGAGACCGTCGATTGGCCAGCTTAATGGAGTTGTTAAAAAATAATGCAGCAAAATAAAAGTATATCGTCATCGAGCATTTTATTGCAATGTCTCAGGTAAAGAGAGGGCTTGTGGTAAGCTTTCTTCACGTTCTGCTGTCAATAGCGGTGTATGAGAGGGTTGCCCCATGTCCCCATTTCTCTTCAATTTCACGATCGAGGATGTCCTTGTAAACGCTCTTGAGGGCTTTCAGGGTTCTGGTGTAGAGCTTCCTTCCTGCAATCACGTGACCGATTTAGATTATGCTGATGATATTGTCTTACTTGGTGATGACGCACGGTGCACACAATCCGTTCTAAACCGCTTGGCGATTAAAGCATCAATATATGGGATGACCTTATCCCTTATGAAATGCGAAGTCCTGGTCCTGCATTGGCATCCACCTGCTCCAGTGCTCACACTTCAAGGTACGCAGCTTGAACAAGTGGACAACTTTGTTTACCTGGGAAGCTGTGTCACTGCTGATGATAGCATTGGAAAAGAGATTTCCCTCCGCATTGCCAAAGCCGGTTCGGCATTCGCCAACTTGTGGCATCTGTCGCGACGTCGCGACGTTTCACTATTGGTAAAGGGCAGTGTCTACAATGCCTGTATTCGCGCGGTGCTGCTGTATGGGAGTGAGTCCATGCCGATTCGTGTGAATGACTTGTGTCGGCCTTTGACAATGGATGTCTGCGGAGGATAGCTCAAGTGTGGTGGATGTACCATGTAAACAACGATGATATTAGACGTCGCGTCTTGGGTAACACGGGACTTCCACTTCACAGATTGGTACCACTGCGCCAACTGAGGTGGATGCGCCAAGTTTTACGCGTGCCATGCGAACGGTTGCCCCGATGAGCACTTCGATCGCACAGAACCAGTCTGGAAACAATCGCGCGTTGGTCAGCCTATCACGTGGCGACAAACGATTAAATCGATGACTTTCATTTTGGTTGCCGTAAGTTCCGTGAGTCTACTGGGCTGGAGGTTCAAAGAGGAAGGACACCGCTGGCTGGAAACGCTTTCGGAGATGGCATAGAACCGGGCTCAATGGAAAGTGTGTACAAATCTTGCTCTTGGTTTGTTCTATTTACATCACAAACATTAAACAAACAGAAAAGATAAAACGGCGTGTGCAAAAAAGAAAAGACAAGATACAAAATACATTTTTGCAACTTTCATTCTTTTGTTGTGGTCGATGTATTTATTACTTCGGTTACCTGCTTTTCGCTGGTTCTATGTTTATCATATACACTGCTACTGATAATAATAATAATACTATATCATAGATTGTGAGGAAAAGTTTCGCAGCACTATTCCTCTCTGCGATAACTCTGATAAAAAGAAGGGGAAATTCCACACCTAGATGTTAAGTAAAGATTCAACTGCATCAGAGGTGTTACCGAGTGCAACAACTGGGCTTGCCGCTCTGTTGGCCTGAATGTTCTATAGACAAAGAATACAAAGTGCCCCATTCGCGAATAATAGAGATGTCCCTGGAAAGCTAGCAAATTTCATTGCCTTAATCTGCTCGATACACAGATGTTGTATGTCAGTGAAAAGGACTTTGTGGCCATTTTGTTTTTTCAACAATTTTGAAAGCGTAGTAAGGAGACGAAAGCTGGTAGATGAATGCATTTCCTATTGTCTTCTCAGGACAAATAACAGTAAGCGATATCCATAGATCTAGCTAACAATGAATGTCCCGAAACAGACTTGCAGTGCATGGTGAGTAAGGGAATTCCATTCCTACGTCCAGGACTTTCTAAGGCTGAACAACACTTGCACTGGACGCATAGGGCTTGGCTCATCCGGTTTATTGCAACAGCCTCAGTAAACGGAAGGAAACAGGGAT